GATTCATCAAAATCAGACGAGTTATCAAGAAGGACAAGTGTCAACACTTGGCAGAAGGGAATTATTTGATTTTAATTTAATTAAGTCAAATGTTAATTGATGGAGTCAAATCACTAATCGGCTCACAAATCAAGTCCTGGTTCTTTCGTCAATTAATCAAGCCCACAATTAAGGCCAAATCTATCTGCAGTCAAAGCTTGGAGAGTCTATAAATAGAAGGTTCCAAGACAAAGAAAAGGGGATCCAGAAATCATTCAAGTATCTAGATGCTGCTAAAGCTCAAGCACCTAAATCCCCAATCACTAAGAAGAATTCAAAAGGCTCTCTGCGTTCTTCACCAAACCTTCGAAGAATCACCAAGCACTACTACCTGTGCTGATCCTTCATTGCCAAGAGCTAAAACCTTGTGGCATCCATCCATCCAAGATCAAGTCATCACAACCCTTGGATCAACAACGTTACATTCCTTACATTTCAGATATCGAAGCAGAGGATCAAGTTGTAAAGAAATTATGACCCTACAAATTCATTAATACAAAATAATTATTTTGTAGACGTGTTATTGTCTCATTTGTCGCAGGATTTTCATGTTTATACATAGAACTAACATATCTAGTATTTTGAATTGAACCTTGCGAGTAATGGTGGATCTTTTAACTCACTAATCCTTGAGTTCAAATGACACACCCCGACCTGGTATGTCCACTTAGACTCTGAATCAAGTTGTGATGGCCGACACTCGGAATGTCCACTTTATGACTTCATCACCTTCTGGGTGTCCGCCAGCACAGCTCAATTCGGAGTCCAAGTGGACATTTCGGGCCGGGGTGTGTCATCAAATCATTCGATTACGTTTACCTAAGCTCATAATAGTAATATCGTTTGTAAAAAAAATAAAATAATTTTGTAGATTATACATTTCAACTGGTGAGACCCACACATAACTTGGCTAAGCCAATTATCTACCACAATTAGTCCAACCCTAATACATGAATCAACAACAGTGCTCTCCTAAGGTCTTCTTTTCGAGGACCTAAGAGGTCATTTTTATGTGAACTATATGATTAATTTAATGGTAAAAAAGCTGATGAGGTTATATAATCCTATTACACCTAAACAAAATGAAAAAACACAAAAAAAAAAAAAAAAAAAAAAAAAGAGTTGACGCTCATCCTTGAATTGATAGATTTCGTAAGTTGAAAGAGAACATTGCGCGACGTCCAATTTTGCATGGTCATCAAAAAATTTAAATTCTCTTTCCAGCAACTAAAATGTATCATTTGTGGTTGTATTGATTTCAATTTCTCCCTTCCCCTCCCCATAGTTAAAAAAAAGTAAAAATTAAATCATGTTTATGGTTATCGTAAAATGAAAAAGGCTTATTATATTAACACCCTATAAATTGTTGAATAAACCCCACATATTTAATACACCCCACATTTGCTTTTTCACTTAAAAATTATCTTTATACACCCTACATATTTTTCCATAATACCCCACACCCCACATTCTTAATATACACCTTATATTTTGTACATACACCCCACACTTTCTATACCCCCCACATTTCTCAAATCTTATAACATTCATTTTTAATTTTTAGGGATTGAATCTAACCATTTGAATGTTTAGTTTACCGAAAGATTTCAAATCAACTGATCAAATTGGTTTCATTACCTTAATTGGACAAGTGCTCCACCATCGTGTTCTAGTGAATCTCTACAACGTTACGCACATTCAGATCCTCCACATAGAAGAAGATGATCTCAAGGGTTGCCATACTTGCTAACAAGATGATGGTCACTTGTAGTAGAATAAGGAGCCCTGGATAATATTCTTGCGGTAAGGTTTTTGAGATATGAAAAATTAGGAGCAATAAATTTTTAGAGTGTTTTTTGTTTGCTACAAATTTCCCCAGAATGGAAGAGAGGATTTTCTCAAATTTGCATAGCAACTTTCATCATCTTTCACTTCACGTACAACACTATTAAATAGAACTAGACCTAGAGGCCTGAGGTTGGAAAAAGGCAAAGGGGGCTTGGGCATAGGATGCATCCAATGCACAATCAATTGATCAAGGGGGTTTAGGGTTTTGTTCAACAAGGGAGAGTGGAGGGTTTTGATAGTTGAGAAGAAAAATAATACCCTAAAAGTGATTTGGGGTGTATTTAGAATTTTTTTTAACCTAGTAAGGTCAATATTGTCATTGCATAATGGGATAAATAAGTCATTTAATATTAAATTTTAATGTTATGTGCATTCAACATTTTATGAGGTGCTAATATAAAAAACCAATGAAAAACTGTAATTTTAATTGAGCACCACTCTTATTTAATTATGTTCCATAGTAACCTATTTTATAATCTTTTTTGCTGGTGGTTCAACCTCAACCCCATTCTTTTTTTTTTTTGCATCATGTTAATTTAATTTTAATTGTAGATTGTTGTATGATGGAAGAACAAAGAAGTCCTTCACCTCAAACAAGTTGCAGGTGAACGAAATCCCAAAGTAGGCTAAGAACTTGGATCAATAACGAAAGCATATGATTTTTACGATCAATATGCTTGAGAAGTTGGATTTAGCGTCAAAATGGGTTCAAGTAAAAAGAAAAAAAGGAACAAATTAAATTAGCTGGAAACAATTTGTTTCTTCAAAAGAAGGCGAACCGGACGAGACTTATCAGAAAACAAAAAAGAATACATCAATCAAGGAAGAAAGGAATCTTGGATCAACTCGTCTGGGTTGTAAGGCAAAGTTAAGCATTTCTCGTAACAAGTTTGGGACGAAGTGGCCTATTTGTAACTTTGAAGAGTGTCATAGTTATATAACCTTATCAGTTTTTTTACCGTTAGATCAATCCTATGGTTCACATAAAAGTGGTCCTCACAGATCCTAAAAAAGAGGACCTTAGAAGAGCATTGTCATGGAAAGCGAAGGCAAAGGTGTGGTTTCAAGTACGATTATAAACATGGTACAATTGAATTTTGTACAGTGGAAGCCTTGATACACTCTTAGAAAGGTACCACTCAACATTGCTAACAATACAAGTCCAATGCTTCTTTGAAGCACAATTACTTGCAGTTGCAAACAATCGTTTTTCTTTTGGATAAATTACACAAAATCACCTCAACTATTAGTCGCATAACAACCTTATACCTTATGTTTTAAACATTGCAATGTCATATCTTATCTTATAAATTTGTTACAATGTCATACTTCCGTCAACTTTTCTATTAAATGCTGACGTGGCAGGAACGGGACCCACTCATTAGCCAAATGAAATAAAAAATGAATGAATTAATAAAAAATTATTGTTATTTATTTAACAATTAAATTTAATTAAAAAAATAATTTTGTGGGCCCATCCCCAATCTCTCTCTTTCTCCCTCAAAATCTCCATTCTCTACCAACTCTCACCGTCTCTTACTTCTCTGTGTTCACAGAGAAGCTGACCCCCAAAGAACGGCCACCCTCCAGACCACCACCATAATCGTGTCACCCTCTCTTCTTTTCTCCCTCAACGCTCAAGTCCCAACTTTATCTAATCTCTCTCTGTACACCAACACAAATGGAAGCCGTCACCACCTCACGGTATTCCGATGAAAAATCTGTCAATTCCTCATCAGATTGGATGAGACTAGGACCACATATCACTTCGCCTTCATCTTGAGGTTCAGATTCGAGCATGAGAGGCTCGAATTTGCCTCGATTTCGCGAGAAACCACAAACCCAGTTTTGGGCTAACAAGCTCAGGCCATTATTCGGCCACAACTTGGCCTAAAAAGGGTATATTTCTATTCCTTGTTTTGTGATCTCCATTTTGAGATAAATTTCATGTGTTTTGGTAGAGATTTGAGGTTAAACGGAGCATAGGCTGCAGCAGTGCAACATGCGGCTACGGATGAAGAAAGAGACGCAAGTTGGGAGATAAGGGAGAGCTTGAGGGAGAAAAATAGAGATTGGGTGTGGGGGCCCAGAAAATTATTATTTCTATTAAATTAATTGTTAAACAAACATGGGGTCCATAAAATTATTTGTTTTTAATGAAATTTAATTGTTAAATAAATAACAATAATTTATTATTAATTAATTAATTTTTTATTTCATTTGGCTAATGAGTGGGCTCCAGTCTTGCAACGTCAGCATTTAATAGAAAAGTTGATGGAGGTATGACATTGCAACAAAGTTATAAGATGATGTATAATATTGCAATGTTCAAAACATGGAGCATGAGATTATTATGCGACTCATAGTTGAGGTGATTTTGTTTAATTTATTATTTTCTTTTTGTATTTTAAATAATATTTACTTCTCTTTGTTTAAGGTCAACAAATTATTTCACATTTGACATAGGTGGGTAATGAATATTTTATTTCTAATATATGTCAATGGAAACACCCTTCCCACTACAATTAACGTAAAAATTGTGTGCTGGCCCAACCCATTTTCCTAGTTACCAAATCTAGACCCGGCCCGTGTTCAAATTGGAAAATCTGCTTTTCAAAATTCACTCTGTCCAAAACACTAGGATCCGGCCCGGATTAATTTTGCCGCGACCCGACGAACCCACCACCAATCCGAGGACCTGGGGTGTTGGATTGTTCAGAAACCCATTCATTTTTTGGTGTATTCGAAGATTCTCCGTTATTTTCCCTCGGTTTTGGCGACGCCGGTATGAAATTTCATAACACAATTTTGGATTGCGGAATTATAATTTTCTTTAATGTAATAGGCAACGGCATGCATAAATTTCACATTGTTTAATTTCACATGTGAGATTGCACACTTTTGTACGCAAAAGTGATCATCTACATTAATTTACGCCAATGGGAGGAAGAGGATTGAATCCGGACACAGTGAGTTGAAGAGGAATACCCGAACCACCTAGGCAACCCACGATTTGCATTTGTGCACAATTTTTATTGTTTTGTTACGTTTTTCCTACCGTGCTGCATTATAAATATTTCAATGAAATCTGATCCTAGTTAGTTTCAGTGATCAAGATGCGAGCAGAAAATGTCGGGAATCGTCGTCCACATTCGGAGGAGTCGGGCGTTGCTTTCACCGGAAAAGCAATTGCAAAGGAAGGTAATGGCGGTGTTGTCGACATTGGCGAGAGCGAAGCTGCCTACCTTGCTCGAGTTGCACTTGCTGGTCTTCGAACGAATCGAGGTAATACGTTTTCATTTTCGTTTTCAGTTCTCAATCCTCATAGTTGTTGGTGTGTTTGTTAAAGTTAACGTTGTCCAAGATGCAAATCTCAGCGACCAAGTAGGAAGTAGTAGGTAATTAATCGGGCTTTTGGTTCTTGTCGCAGGTAACATAAAATGTGTTATCCAACGTGATGGAAGGGTTCATATACAAGGAGTCATGAACGGTGTTGAACTTTTGAGAAACTCATCAACTGTGTAACATATGAGAGTCCAGCAACTATGCCCGCCTGGACCATTTGCCGTTTCATTCAGTCTTCCCGGACCTGTTGACCCCCGTCTCTTTTCTCCTCATTTCCAGCATGATGGACTCCTCGAGATCGTTGTTCTCAAATCGAGCAAATTCAGCAAAAAGTGAAAAATCAAAGCACATCCAAAGCTAGTGTAATTGAGTTGAACAATGATGACGGAGATGTAACTGGCGATGGTCCGATGGAGAACAGGAGTGATACAAATTCCAATGGTGTTTCAGCCCTTCGATCTAGGGTTTGTCTTTTAATTTCCTACTGTAACTTAAATCGTCAAGGGTGGTTGAGGATTTAAGTTTTGAGAATGTTTTCCAGCAGAAGGATTTTCGTATTGTGAAATAAAGAACGCGTGTGAAGCCTTCAGAGTGATTCAAAATTATCTTTAATCTTGTTTCACTTTTTTAACTTTCTTTGCTTCCGTTAGCATAAATTCTTCCCATAAGGTGCTGGCCAGTCTCTGATGAAGCTAGAGCGCCTGCATTTAAAGCTCTGCATTGTGGCATTTGTACGAGTCTCTTGGTGATACAAGGTAAGGCGATCCTTCAAAATGTCGTTGCGAAAGCAGTGAAACGACACTAGTGGTGGTCGTGGATTGAAATTCAAGCGATGCCATTCGCCAAAGTTTTCCCAAGTAACGTAGATTAAACTTCTAGTTATGATTTAGCATACATATCTCAAGAGGACAAAGATTTGCAATTTAAAGAAGCTGCTCATGTATTATTCAACATATAACACAGTTCCATTGAAACTACGACTGAAAATGAATCCTACTTTTATTTTCGACGAATAATATTTCTCAAACTTCAAAATTATTTTGAAACATTCTCTTGTACATTTGTTTCCCTCAAACGAAAGAGACCATTCGGACACAAGTTCGACAAAATGAAGAAAATAAAGGCCAGCATCGCCAGCAACACGACATTGAGGAGTATCTTGTCATGTCACTAATCTGTGGAAGCAACATACTACATTATATTCGTCTATAAGAAGTGTACCTGATATTGCGCCTTTTTTCCGTCGCTAAAAGAATGCCTTGGTTTGCTATTAAGCCTGTACAGAACTCTCAGTGGTTATCTCAGCAGTTTCCTTCCTCAAAGTTTGTAGCCTTTCCTTGAGTTTTTTACTCTCTTCAAAGTTTGCCTTCCTCTTCACAGCTTTCTGTTGCAGTAATTCCAAAGCTATTACCCCAAAATAATTAACAAGACTCCACAACAATTATCAGTTTCTATTTTTGAAATAAAAAGACTCAGATAACTAAGACTTACTTCCTGTCGGAAACAACGGTCGAGCTGTATTTTGAGGTCTGTACATTCACCAAAGAATTTTGCAATAGGATGGTCTACATGACACTTCTGAAACTCCTCGATGATCTACACCCGCACACAAAGAGAAATAAAATAAATATATCAACTTGCTGCTTAATTTCATAACTCGAATATCAAAAACTGAAACTTCCTACACCAGAAACCATCTAAGACCTCAAGATGGGAGTCTTGACGGTATTTTTCGTGTCAAGATAACAACTTTTATGACTTTTCTTGGCAGATTTACGAGAGATGTTTGATCAAAACCATCTTCCCTTAACCTCATAAATTGTAACCCCAAACTGTATCCAGCTATAACAGAACTGGCAAATCCTGATACATAACTCATCTATTTGGTTGCGTATATGTAGCTCCATACGTGTTTATATAATGAATGAATTAGGTTACGCAACTCTTGTCTATAAGTTGTCAATTTTTCTCCATTTGAAATCAAACATTAGCTGGGCTACACACTGGCAAGCCTCCTAATTCGTTTGGAAATGCTTTAAAAATAACTGAAAGTGTTTTTAGGTTCCCAAAGCAATGTGCTTTATGCAAGAAGGACCAGTTATATGCTTCTTGTAGAAAGCATTTTTTCAAGATTTATTTGTATTTTTACTATGGATTGATTTCAAAAATATTTTCATCAAAAACGTTTTTAATTATTTTAAAATCCCTTCTAAACGAACCCTTAGACTACCCATTTGAAAATGCTTCTTCAAAAAGCACTTGTGCTTAGAAGCACATCTTCCAAAAAAACACTTCAATTGCTTTTTTTTGTTTGTAATTGTATTGGCAATTTGGCACAGAAAGACACAACTAGTTACAGGTTCAGTTTCCCATTAAGTTGAATACAATCTATGAGACGCCAAAGCAATTCAGGCAGTGAATCATGACTCTCAAACCACACAAACAGAGACGATCCAATTCCGAAATCATATAAAAAATTTGATAAAAAATTAAAGAGAAAGAGAAGCAAAGGAAAAGGGATGGAGAACTCACTTGTGCACACATGGGGTGCTTGTGTAGCGTCAATGGAGGATGCATATTTAATCTTTAACACCCAATTGAATCAAAATCTACAGCAACCTGCAGAAACTATAATTTTTCGATATGGAAGACGAAATTTGGGCAAATTGAGGAAATGGGATATTGGATTCCTTGACTTGCGATTTGCTGCTGCGTGTGTCTGTCTCAGGTCCTCCTCCTTCAGGCTTCGCATAAACTAGAGGTTTAAGGTTCGCCACGCTCTGACTACACCGACGGCAGAGAAAAATGCACATCGCTTGTATAAAAAAGGGTTAATTGCATTTTACACCAAAACTTTTGGAGTCATTTGTAAATTAGGTTTTGAGATTTCAATTTTCGCAAAGTAATACCATTAATTTTCAAATGGCACCAATTAAATCACTCTGTAACGTCTAATTAGAATGTGAAACTTAAAGAGAAGTTAAATTGGTACAATTTTGAAATCACATTGTGTAATACACGAAAATTGAAATCTCGTAACTCATTTTTACTAACGAAGCCTAAACCCTGTGGTGTAAAATGCAATTAACAAAAAAGGGGCATAACATAACATAGGTAGGCAGCTTGGTGGTTAATGGGCCTTAAAAGCTGCTTGGGTCTAACTGTAAGCTGGGTTGGGCTGTGTTTTTGTGCTAGACTTGATTGACCCACTTTATATGTGGTTACGAGCTGTGAGCACTAATTCTGTTTTAATCACAGGTTGTTTTTTTTTTTTTTCCTTCTCCTCTCTCTCTCTCTCTCTCTCTCTCTCTCTCTCTCTCTCAAAATGAAGAAGATGCAGAGATGTGGCATCCATTCGAAGTTGCCGAGGTTCGATTTTGATTCCTAGTTTTGTCTTCCAAGATACAAGTGATATTGGGAGTGCGGGATCGAACAAAGAACATCAAATACATTAGTAAATGCTCTAATCGCCTTGAGCTACAATCCTCTTGCATGATTTTAGTTGGCGTGCACCACGGCATGTTATTGTCAATTCCAAATATCTCCAGGGTGCTCCAGTTGTTGGTAACCAATCCAACCTTGTTTCTTCTGGTGTCCCTATTTCATGAAGACAAGGAACTGCGTTCTATTTTTCTGGTGTTGAGACACTCCGACTCAATCAACTGAGGGAGAAACATCCGTCCATTGCTTCAAAACAACTGTGCCTCTATGTATCCGCATTCTTGTGTCCCGACTGGCAACTAGCAGAAATGTCTTCATCCATCGGCCGTAGGGCATACGAAATGAAGTCCAAAAAACCCAAGTCCTTCTACAACCATCATCACATGGATACCAAAACAACTACAAAAAGGTCAAGCAACAACTTTATCAGACATACCAGCTTCCAAGCCTCTGGTGCAAATTGCAGCTTCCAAGCCTGTCCGACTTACATTCTTTAGCAAACCTTGACAAGCGTTGCTGTCCATGAGAGCTTGGACTATGCTATCTGTATGTATGAATCAAATATTCCTATGCGTAGAACAAATCTCTCTTGTACTTTGCAACGAAACAGGCACTTCTCGTATACGAGATAAGAGAATGGAGACTTGCTCAGTTGCTATATCTAGTCTCTCCCTAGACTTGGCAGATTCTGTTACAAGAGTTGAGACTATATTCTGCAATAACTGTATTTTTTCTGCATGTTCACTTGGAGCACTCTGAAGGAGTTTTGCAGAAGGCATGCTGATCCGGCGCCATCGCACAGGAATATATCTATCGGGTATCTGAAAGCAATTTCCTGTGGAGAGAACTCGAAGTGCATGCCGACAGAGAATTCCAGAGAACTCAAAGTGATGGCAACTGCAACTTATGATGCCTTCCCGAGGAACCCAATACACTTTACGACCTCCATCAGCTTTTGTGTGGTGTCGCACAAGAAAACCATCTTCCATCTGAAAAGATGCGTAGTGGGCAGCCAAAACAAGTTGTTCTTGAAGCTTAGAGAAAGCATGAGGAGTAAGGATTGAGGCCGCATGGGATTCCATAGGCGCTCCTGTTTTAAGGCAAATATTTTGGAGATTCTGTTGCATTGTTTGTTGTTCTCCAGCTTGATCTTTAAAATCCACGGCAACAGCTACCTGCTCGTGCAAATCGAAGTAAAAATTGAGGACAAAAACACAAAAGAATTAAAAAAAAACGAGAGATGCCTCATACATCATAAGATATGCCTCATGCATCTTCACAAAGGGACATGACTCCTTAAATGTGCATCCAATAATACATCCACCTAAATGCACATTAACCAACATGTATATTAAATAAGCTTTGGGCTAACTCTAATTCTCGATTAAGTTTATTTCCTAAATACCAGCAAAATGGGTTTTCCAAAAGTAGACTACTACCTTCCACAAACTTAATGACAGGTACAACTTCGTTCCATCCACCAACACATTCATTTAAGTGTAGAAAATCAACTGTGATAGGTACGTAAACCACACGAGAAATCAGTAGAAGGAGCTATGCTTGTCATTCAAGCATGAAGCAGTCACAGGAAAACATTGTTTACCGTACAGTCAGCACTCAGCAGGTTAACATTCATCAACTTCCACTTTACCCTCATTATTGGAATTGCGTACTATATAGAACCTCCATATAAGCTGAAAAATTGCGCATTTAAACGGACTATTTGACAAAACACAGGTTCCAAAGAATTTTTTTTTTAAAGTTCAAGCATGTCCGGGGTCAAAGGTAGATAACACATTGACCACAGGAAGAATATTATTGTAGCTCAACACTTCTTCCTCTGTAGTTACAGTTTTTGACTTATTAAAATTGTGTGTGCTTTGATGTTGTTTGACACATGGAAACACACACAAATTTCCATGTTCTGATGTACTACAAAATCTTAGGCAAGGTAGAATTACAAAACCACTTTGAATAAATAGCCTAATACTGAAATATCAATCTTCCTATGTTAATATCATCCTACCCTAACATTTGACCAAGCAAGACACTAAAATGAATCAGAGTATAACCAGACTTTCTAACCAAACAAGAGTTAAGAGTAAATAATAAATGGAATTATTCAAATTTGATTGTAAATTGAGCAACGGGACACATACTTGTTCAACAAAGTGTGCAAGTCGGGTCTGTGCACTCAAAAATCGTTGGATGAATGCATTAATGAACTTTGACTGTCCAATTGCAGTCATTCCTGCAAAGAAATGGCTTCTCAAGAACGGTAATGCCCATAACGAACGTAGGCCATACAAGTTGACTATGTGCCTGTTAGAGTGAAGCCCAAAAGAATTTACCAAGTCTCTCCATCCTAGCTCAAAATCCTCTATGGACTCCAAATTGTATATGCGATAAAACTCACTCTTCCACTCATTGTAACGTTCACCCAAAACAGCATTGAACCAGGAGGGAAACTTTGCCACTATCATCCATATGCATAGTGCATGCTTAGCAGTTGGCATTTCCATGCTTATTGCTTCTTTCAGAAACACATTTTGGTCAGTTAATATTGTCTGTGGTGCCTTCCCATACATGAAGCTCAGGAATGCCTTCATACAAAAAAGAAAACCAAAGTAAACTTGAGAGTGATGAAGTTTTGCAGATGCCAGACATTCATCATGAGTATAAGAAGATTTCAACACATATAAGTTTTAGTTCAAACTGGTTATCAGGAAAAGACTGATATACAGAACACATAAGAGGAGATGATTGTTGGCATTTACTAGGGGGTAAGAAAAGTCCCCAACTTCATTAGTTAAACTGCCATAAATTTGATAAGGACTTGGTCCCTCGCATTATACAATTGTACTACAAAACTGCTTAAAAATGATTCAAATTTAAAGTAGAAAAAAAGTAAAAAAAAGAATCAGTCCCTTGCTTTAAGTATGAACCACAATCACCTAAGCAACATCTCTTATGGTTGGCCAAAAACTGACTGACCAATCGTTAATATTACACTTTAAGCTTTCTCACCTCTCACCCATCCTATTGATGCCCTTTATTTCAGAAACTAAGTTTACACTCTCACATGCTTCCCTGGTTTACACTGTCACATGCTTCCATGGCTTTTGTTTGTGTCACAAAAGAGAATCCTAATTCATTTGCTAGACCAAGTTACTTACAGTATCAACAATGTATTAGTCATAGTCCAAATTAAACTAAGTACCTATCAACGGGTTTGTCCAAGATAACCTTACGGTATCCCTCTGTAAAGTATACAAGTGATGTGACAGATTTTATGAAGATGAAAAATAAACATGGTCACTCTTACCTTTAACGCCCACGAAAACGACCTTAAACTTTCCTCTCGTAGAAGCACACAGCCGAAAAAACAAGGCATACCATAATTGTTTATTCCAACCCATATCCCAAGTGGCATGTCAAATGCAGTTAAGCGGTGAGTAGTGTCAAACACCACGGCATCACCGAATGACTCATATGCCTGGACTGATGATGCGTATGACCATGCAATATTCTCTAATCTGTGGTTTGAGTCGAGGGTGTACTCAAATTTGAAGTTGGGATCTTTCTCCTTGATACTTCTGCACATTCTTAACAAGTCGATACTCTCCTCTTCTGGATCTAATTTCCTAAATGACTGGAGTAAATTCCTAACATCCTTTTCAGTGAATGGTAAACACCCTGGTTCCACACACTTCTCCAGCTCCATGAGCCTCATCATTTGCTGCACCGAAATTCCTGTCTTGGCAAACATAAGTATCCGGCTCTTATCAGACTCAGAAATAGTTCGGTAAGCAGGAAGAAAACGAACTTGGTTTGGTTCCAAGAGTTCATGATTATGGTGGTTTGCAAAACCTGTGACACGCCATTCCAGTGCTCCTAATTCTGTTGTCTTGCTTATCCGCATGTAAGCTTGACATCCACATCGGGAGGACTTTCTGTTCCTTTGAGGTTTACTCTCACTGGAGTTTTTGATGGGGGTGTTTCCAGCACGGTGACAGACAAAGTAGCGTCTTGTAATTCCTTTTCCTACCCCAACTTTTCCCTCTGTGCGGTGCCTCCGGATTGAGAATCCACATCTCTTAGCAAATTCACTGTAGTATTCATAAGCTGCATCATGAGTAGAAAATCTTTGTCCAATATATGGAGTTAGATCATTTGTGGTCTCCAATGAAAGCCTGGTCTCATCAGGCGATTCCTCAGTGCTGCTGGTATCATCCAAAGACAACGATCGTTGATCCGAAGCATCATCATAAACCACTAACATTATATTGTCATTCCTAAGTCCTGCGGCTTCAGACATCATATTGTCATTCTTCAGCTTAGTGTAACTCTAACGGTTGCTTATCTGATATGAAAGAAATGGAAGAGTATTAATTACAGAATCAACCCAGTACATGAATATATGATAGGAGGAAAAACTTTTACTAGATAGCCCAAGTTAGCATAATAAACTGAAACTAACAAATATGCGCTTAATACGAAAATAACAACAGAAAATAGATGAAGAAATCTTTAGTTATGGTACTACACAGCCCAACTACACATATAGAGATGATCCAAAACCAAAATCAATATCTTAGCTGAAGATGTCAATGTATCGATTCACATTCGATTAATTTAATAAGTACCAGTTATCATTTGACTAAAAAAATGTTACAACAACAACCAAGCCTATGCCACTGCGCTCGATTTTGCGCCAAGTCTTCGGTTAGCGCACTAAGTACTTAGACGGAGGCTCAGGACTCAAAATTCCATTGAAGTGATGTGCAATTTTTTATCTTATACATCTAAAAATACAAATAAAGATGAAGAAAGCAAAGGGGAAGGAGGAGTCACTTGTGCACACATGGGGTGCTTGTGTAACGTTAATGGAGGATACATCTTTTAACCCCAATTGACTCCAAATCTACAGACACCTGCAGAAACTACACCAACCTCTTTTTTTATCCTGACATATTGGTCATATAAATAAATACCCAACTCAAATTTTCGATTGAGAACACGAAATTTGGGGAAATTGACGAAATGGGTTTTGAATCTGGAAGACGATTGCTACAAGAGAAGGAAGACCCAAAAATTGAGAAGCAAATATACGTGTGGATTTCATATAGAAGGAGGATCATAGTCATATAAACACACACACCTACCCTTGGGAAATTGGATTCCTTGACTTGCTATTTGCTACGAATACAGCAGCTGAATCCACACACAAATGACAGGGAGCTGCTGTTGCTGTTGCTGCTGCTGCTGCTGCTGCGTGCGTCGGTCTCAGGTCCTCCACGCTTGCCTCCACGGACTACAGAGAAAAACACGGGAAAAAAAGGGGGTAGGCAGCTTGGTGGTCGATGGGCCTCAAAAGCTATTTGGGGCCAGCTGTCAGTTGGGTTGGGTCGTATTTTTGTGGTAGAGTTGCTTGGCCCAATGTTATGGGGTTGCCAAGTGCGACACAATCACAATATGATACGTTACAGTTTTACTTTAACAGCGGAGTTGTAAATTTGAGATTTCGTTTAATTTTTTTCCCGTTGGTGGTTGTCGCATCCTAAACATACAAAAGGGATGCAAATTCACATTATCAGCGCGAGTATCATATACTAAGTAAGGTTATTGTAGATTTCGATCCCCAAAAGATAAAGAATTTGGCTATAATAGATCGTCGTTAAATTGGTATTACTCCAAATTTGTCTGTGATATGCAAACTATTTACAAATTCATTGTCTTTATTTATTATTAGAAACATTTCTCTTATTAATTAAGGTATGATCGGTGTACAGCAAATCAAGAATTTTAATTTGGGTTGATAGCTTACTTCACTATTATACAATCGAGTCTCTCTTTAAAAAGTCTCCCAATTTCTCTCTCTAAAATTGTCTCTGTGAAAGACTTCCAGCAACTTTGCTGTCAGCCCTAGCTTTTGGGTTGGGTGCCGGAGGCATCCTCCCTTCCTTCCTTCTTTTCTTCTTTTCCTCTTGAGTTTTCTGGAGTTCTCTTTCATTTGCACTTTCCTTCTTTTCCTTCCCTTCATCTCCTCTGCTCCTCCCCCTTCCTTACTTCCCTTCTCCTCTTCCTTCATCTTTTCCAGTTTTCTCCCTTCCTTGAGTTTAATCTCAGTTTTCCTTGATCCGAGTCTCAACTATCCAGGGCTTCTTCTCCATTATCCGGCCTTTTCCCCCTGCTTTTACTGCTTTATGTCTTATATATCCCTTTCTCCCTCCTTTCTAGCTGTGATACTTTATCCCCATCCCACCATGTGCTTGATTGGCAGGCTTTGACCAAAAATTGGATATCAGATCCACTTCCCTCCCTCAGTTCCCCTCCTCCAACCAGCATGCTGAATTTCCATCGAGGCCAAGTGTTGGGTATTTTACATAACCCCTTAGCCTCACCTTCTTCCCATATGTTACTTTGTTTGTATATGTTTGCAGGGGTTTGTGAGGGAACTTGGATTTGATGTATACTTTCTCAATTTGGAGTTTGACTTTCTCAGAGGATGTGATGGCGGCGGTGATGTGGTCTTTGCTGTTGGAGATTAGGGATTTTTATTGTTTGTTTTCTGCTACCTTCAGGCCTAAGCTTGTGTGGGCCTTCTGTTGTATCTTGGGTTACTGCGCTCATTTCGCTTGGGCCTTTTACTTTGCCTGTAGTTGTTTATCCGGTCCTTTTTGGGCCTTGTACTAATTTTTATTGTAATGAAAGTTGTCTTTGTGACAAAAAAATAAAAATAAAAAAGAAGAAAAGAGAATAAAAAAGCATATGAAAAACAAGAGGACCTAAATTTTACCCTTCTAACAATGAAAAAAATAAAGTACAAGAAAAGAGGGGGATATAAAACATAACCCCTCCAATGCCAAACCTAATGGTTTAAACTTGCAAAACAGATTGAACAACATCATAAGGTTAAGAATAAAAAAGTGAGACAAACATGTGTACCAAGATGTAAATTAATTTGAGAAGCGGAAATCAGGAAAGCCAATATAGTCCAAAAACAAATCGGCATGAGCTATTAACGGAACGGAATCATGCCATACCAAAGTTGGAGAAGAAACTCATATTAGCAAATTTGTCCGCAACAACATTCCCTTCGCGATGTATGTGAGAGTTGTTGAAATTCATCTTCTAAATGCGGTCCAATCAAATAGACTATTGCGTATGAAGTGGTCAAAGAAGACCAAAATCAGTCGATTGGAGAGCAAAAACACCAATAGAAGAGTCACTTTCCAACCAAAGACAATGCCAACCCCATTGATGTGCAAATTCTAGACCAATTAAAATTGTTGATAATTATGCAAAAAAAAAAGAGTTGCAACGACCAATTCCTTGGCAGAAACCACCAAAACAAGAGTTGCAATGACCATGACAATCCCTGAAAATTCATTCACAAGAAGCTGGACCACGATTTCCTTTACACAAACCATTTGAATTAAGTTTAATCCAAAAAGCCCAAGAAGACCAAAGCACAGGAAGAAAAATAGGGATAGGAGTTCGGGTTTTTTTTTAGTAAGTCGTTTTTTTTTTTTTTTCAAGCTTCTTTTATGGGTTTCTTATTATTTTGTTACGCCACTGGTTCTGTACAAGTTCACAAAAAACAAATCTATTTCTCTTCCATAGCCTTTAGTTTCCAAAATTTAGTCTGTAAATTTTGGAAACCTAGCGTTGCCCTTTTCTATTAAATGCCTCCCCCCCTACTCCGGAGCGGTTCACATTTTTGTTTTTCTTTAACAACTAGTCTTTCTTCGGAGCGGTTCACATTTTTGTTTTTCTTTAACAACTGCCATTTTGCCTACAGTAGTTAGGTCGAATGATGCACAAGCAGTGATTAGAAAAACAACCAAGTACATATCAAACTGCCGCAGCTAGCTATTGCAACTTTCGAGACCAATACGATCAAGCAACATAGTATCTATTTGCTATCGCTAGCCATGAATAGTGACGGAGCTAGCTTATTCCAAAACAAACATGGCATATACAAACAGAGCCGGCCCTGAGGGTGTGCAAAAGGTGCCATCACACAGGGCCTCTGATTTGGACAGGCCCCCAAATTTTCATTACATGTATACAGATGCATATAAATAGATGAGATGCAAAGGACAATCTTATATGTGGTTCTAGCGATTTAGCTCTTCTACCTTATGACCCATGGGCTCGGTTTGAATCCCTTTGATATTGCTTTTCTAATTTTTTAGCTTTTGCAAATTTGTAAACATAAAAAGAAGATAACAAAAACGCATCCAACGTATATCGAACTCAGGACCTTTGAAGGTAAGGAAAAAAGCTTGCCCAATCAAACAACTTATTTTTGTTATAGTAACTTGTAATATTTTACTTTTATAGATGAAAATTTTGAAAAAAATAATAATAAAGAAATATAACTGTGAACACGAAAAATTCCTGAAACAAGAAACAAGAATACGTGTACAAAATATATTTTTTGTATTTAATGATTTTGGGGTTACAATCTCTTTGTAATTTGATCATCTGATTCTATCTTCGTAGGGTGTAGATTTGTGGATGAGTTGTTGATCCAAATGGCCGTCGGGGCTTGATCTAAGGATGAACAGTTGATGAATGGATCTTCAAGGGGGCGTTGGGCTTGATCTTGAAGAATGGGTGTATAGGTTTGTTGAGATTGTTGATCCAAAGGGCCGTTGGGGCTTGATCTTAGGATGAACGGATGAACACTTTCTTCAAGGGCCGTCAGGGCTTGATCTTGAATAATGGTTGTGTGGATTTCTTCAAGGGCTTTTGGGCTTGATCTTGAAGGTTGATGGATGAGCGGATCTTCAAGGGCTTTTGGGCTTAATCTCGAAGAACGGGTGTATGGATTTCTTCAAGGGCTTTTGGGCTTGCTCTTGAAGGTTGATGGATGAGCGGATCTTCAAGGGCTTTTGGGCTTAATCTTGAAGAACGATTGTATGTGTGGATTTGTTGAGGTTGTTGATCCAAAGGGCCGTTGAGGCTTGATCTTTAGGATGAACGGATGATGAACACTTTCTTCAAGGGCCGTCGGGGCTTGATCTTGAGTTGAACAGTTGATGAACACTTTCTTCAAGGGCCGTCGGGGCTTGATCTTGAATCGGTGGAAGTTCTTCAAGGGCCGTTGGGGCTTAACTTTGAAGGAGGATTTGACGAAGAACGAAGAGTGTTTTCTTGATCCTTCGGGATTTGCTTGAGAGCTTTAGAGTTTCAAAGCTTCAAGGTTTTGGTGTGATGTGAATTCCCTTCTTTCTTTCTCTTCTTCCTTCTTTCTCTTCTTTCTTTCTCCCTTCCCCCAAAATGAATGCCTTGGCCTCCTATTTATAGAATTCCAAAACTTGATTTTTGGATTTAAATAATCAGATGAAATAAATCATTTCTGCCAGGTATTGACAAGTGTCCTATTTGATGACTTTTCCAATTTATTTCGATTTTTCGTTGAGTCACACGCTACATGTAAAATTTATGTGACACGTGAGCGTTGAAATTTTAATTATTGGTTAACATTCATTTCACCAAAATTTCGATGTCTACAAATGCCCCCACTTCAAGGCGCGTCGTTGACATGTGCTTGTCACGTGTATGAGATGCGTTTTGAAGTTCCTTAATGTAGATGTTGATCCAAGGGCCGTCGAGGCTTGATCTTGAATTGAGCTGGAAATTTCTTCAAGTCTCCTCCGCTCGTTGATTTTCCTTTGTGCTACTCTTGAACTGGGCAGCAGGATTCTTTTGGTCTCCCCCCGAAGGTCTACGAGCGGTTTCAGGATATGGCAGGCAAGTACGAGGTGGAGGTGCTGACCTGTTTCTTTGTTCAATCTTTCCAATTCGTATTGAATACGAATTGAAAAAATTGAAGTTTCCTTGTCCCTTCTCTGGCAGTGTATCCACCGTTGAAGATGACTACTCGAGAGCAATACTAGGTAAGCAATCAGGAATAGATTCCAGGTAGTCGGTTCCAGATCGGAAGACTGACTCCAAGTGCCGCTGACTGCTCTCTTTCACTTTGCCATGCGAGTAATAACAGGGACTAAGGAAAAGACACGGAAAAAGCATGATATGAGATACCTTTGCTTTCGAAGAAGCAGCAAATGAATCAGCACATATATTTGTTGTGCTTGTCTCCACATGCTTCGATGTATCATTTTCGCTTGCCTTACTTGCTCCCCTTTGCAGAAGTGGTATTTCCTTATGCAGGTTTAGCATCTTCTCTTGTAGTATTTGTCCTCCGATGCAGGAGTTGAATGCAACCTTTGCATTTAAATGGTGCTTCACTCCTTGGTGGCAACTGGTTTGAGTGGAGGTTCCGACATATTGCTTCCTCTGTCCTTGTC